CTGGATGGATGGAAAAACCAGTTACGGAACATGTCATCTTTCACTGGGGATGTTCTTGGAGACTTGGAGAAGCCAGCAGAGGGCGCATGTGCTTTCAAAAAGAGACAATAAGGCACAGGCTGGCTTAGCACTGCTGACCAGATAGGGAGGGGGATGCTGCCTTTCAGCAGAACAGCTCATCCAAGAAGAGCTCGTCATGATTCCATACAGGCGCAAACACCCAACCTCCCCAGAGTACCTTCAAATTCGCAATCCAACCTGTTATGAAAAAAGTCACATAGAGAAAGCATCGGAAACACACACCTCCCTCAATGAAAGTTCTAAACTATGGAGGTAAAGTGGGGAAAGTCCACTCAGGTTCAGACACAGGTCTGTGTTGGGTTTACTGCTGTGCATGTCCATGCCTTTGTGTTAGTGACAATAAAGCATGGTGTCATGGTTAGAACACAGGGATCTAGATGGTTTCCCAAGACGGCTTCCTTGGATCCGGGGATCGATTTTATAGAAAGCATGAGAAAGACTAGTTCATGATTTAAGAAGAAAAAGTTAAGATAGGGGGAAAAAACCCAACACAACAACTCAAAGCTGCACTGCAATCGTGAAGGGATGGTGTTCGAGGCCACCTGCTGCTCTGTGGGAGAAGGATGGGCAATCTCCTCCCATCTGATTAAGCCTCTGAAAACCTGCCGAAGGGTCAGCTATGGGTCAGTTCTGACTCTGTGGTATACAACAACAGCAACAATTAATCTTTAAGAGCAAACCAAATCTATTTTTTACGCATGGGTTTTCATTTTCTGCTTATTGTAAAAAAATAATCTATTACAGAAAATTCTAAAGTAAAATAAATTTCTGAAGTACACACACACACACACACACACACACACACGGGAAATAGAAAATCTTGTATCATCACAGAGCTTCAACTGTTATCACTATTTGCCATTGTTGGTTCATCTGTTCTTCTGCTCTCTTTCTCTCTCTGTGTGTGTGTGTGTGTGTGTGTAGATGGTGTTGATGCCTGAAGGAATTGAACTTTTCTGGTTTGTGTTTCAATAAAGCACATTTCCTCCCTTAAATAAATATCTTCTTTTGGTCAAACAATTAGCGATGTATTTCTTTAACAGGCAGGGACTTCACTTTACATTTGAAAGGAGGCAACAAAAAGGGCTCTTGAGGAATGAATTCTTGTTTGACTTTTTATGGAGCTCTGTGTTCTGTGGAGAATTCCACCACAAAGGTAAGGCCATGGGAAGGAGAAGAGAGGAGAAATTCAGGGATGGCTGAGAGGCCATGGCCATTGTGTCCACTCGCTCCGCTGGCAAAAATCAGGTGCTCTCCTCATGCATATATTTTGGGGTTTAGCAATGTATTTGAAATGAAGTGAAAAAAAACCCCAAACATATTCTTGATACCAAAGAGTGAACAACATAACTTGTGTCACCTGCCACTTTAAAAAGCTAGCTCTGGCGTTGGAAAGGTCAGAGCTATAAAAGTCCAGGCTCTGAGGAGAATTTTTATATGCCCATCTCACTGTTGACAGCTTCAGCTACATTTTCCTTTTCCTATGAGTGTGAAAATGCCATGAAAGGAACTAGAGTTTAGCAAGCTGTGGGCTAACCGGCAGGATCAGTGAGAAAATCAGCTGGGAAAGAATAAATGGAAAGGACTTTGGCACCTTGCTGGCTCCTCTTCTTTGCATTTATAATCTACAGCCTTCTCCCTGGGCAGTTTCCCAAGTGAAGCTCGGAGGCCCATGGACAAGTACTGCTCCGGTTCTCTGGGAGTCCTGGGGGAGGGTGGGGCAGGGGGTGACAGGGCTTAAAATACATAAGGCAGAAGAGGGTAAGTGTGGGCCCTGATGACTGTGCAGGGCAGGAAGTGGGAGTGGCATCGTGTGTCTTGAGACCCCACAAATAGTGGCAGTGATGCTGGGTAGAGATGTGGCCTACCAGGGCAGCTAGGATGACCTGAACGAGGTTTCTCTTGGGGGCCAGCAAGGGTCCATCACACAGTGGAGTACTATGCAACACTGAGAAATGCTGCTGCATAGAAAGGATTAATTAAACATTTCATAATATGGATGGACCTGGAGGACAATGTACTGAGGGAAATAGGCCAGTCACAAAAGGACAAATACTGTGTAAGTATGGTTTGCTGAGTACCATCAAGTTGGAACTGACTCATAGCTGACCCTCCAGTGGGTTTTCAGAGACAATAAATGACACAGGAGGAGGCTGTCCATCTTCCTTCCATGGAGCAGCTGGTAGATTCCAACTGTGAGCTCCAGTAGGTTTTCAGGGACAGTTAATTGCACTAGAGGAGACGGCCCATTCTTCTCTTGCAGTGCAGCTGGTGGATTAGAACTGCATGCCTTTGGGATTGCAGCATAGCTTCTTGCCACTAGGCCACCAGTGCTCTTATAAGACTACTATTATAAAAAGCTAAAGAAATGTTTAAAGCCAAGAGAATCATACTAGGATGGTTACCAGGGAGGGTAAGGTGGTGGTGGTGTGGGCATAGAAAATTATTTAATGGATAATACTTCTTAATATGGGTGAAGGGAAAGGCATTACAGAAGAAGTGGATGATCAGACACTCTGAGTGTGGTAATTAATGTTATAGAAAAAATGTTCATGAATGATTGATTGAAAACCAATTTGCTATGTAAATTTTCACTCAAATCACAAAAACATTTTGGAAAAACAAAGCCTAAGGAAGCCCCACATCAACATGTGTTAACTTCCAGTGTGTTTTCTTTTGGCAGCTGTGACACCCCCTCACCTGCCCCCATCCCCAGCCTTCCACAGTGGTTTTTACTTTCAGGATGCTGGGTCTATGTGAATGGTGAAGAGGGGTAAGGTGGGAGAGGAGAGCACCCCAGCTATTCTCATGAGCCCTCTCTTCTTCATTCTTTCTGAAAAACCCTCAGTGGCTGTTTCATTGATTCTGTCCATGGTGACCCAACGTGTGTCAGAGAACTGGACCCACAGGGTTTTCAATGGCTGATTTCTCAGGACTGTCAGGTCTTGCTTCTGAGAAGCATCTGGCTGGGTTGAAACAGCCAACTTTTTGGTTAGCTTCCCAGCACTTAACTGTTTGCACCATCCATGGGCTCTTATGTGTCTAAAGGGTTGTGAAAATGCATAGAGTGCTCTGGTATTAGCTAGTGTTATATTTATAATTAAAGCCTATATCAAAATAATTAGAGGATGCAATGCATTGGAGTCACTAGAATCAGTGAGACTGGCTCAGGACAGGGCAGGCTTCAGAGCTGTTGTACACTGGGTTGCTTTGAGTCATGGGCGACTCAGCAGTACATAACAACCACCATCACCATGCAATGGACAAATTTGCTGTCAGGATCTCTTTCAAGAGCTAAAGAGTAAGATGATAGTTTAAAGAGTAAGGTGCACCTCAAGGTGACTCAAGTCCTGCTGTTTTCAGTTGCTTCATATGCATGTGAAAGTCGGGCAATGAAGAAGGAAAACGGAGGAAGCCTGTGAACTGTGATGGTGAGGAAGAAAACGGACTAAATAATAGATTGCCAAAAGAACAGACACATTTATCTCAGAGGGAGTAGAATCATGGTGCTCCTTAGAACAAGGACAGTGTAACTTCATCTCACATACTCGGCGCATGCTGTCAGGAGGGGTTGATCCTTGGGAAAAGGCTTCATTCTGGGAAAGGTAGATCAGCAAGAGAAAAGACCCTCAATGAGATGGACTGACACTTTGACAGCAACGATGCACCTGAGCGTGACAGAGACTGTGAGGGCGGCACAGGACAGGCCAACGTTTCGATCTGTTGTTCACAGGGTTGTTATGAGTCATAGTAGACTTGATGGCCAGTAGCAACAATAAAAACAACAACAGTGCATCTCCTGCTTCAGCCTTGAAGAAGTGTAGTCAGAGCAAGCACGGCCATGATTGAAACTTGGTAAAAAGAATTGATCCTTATAAAAGGACCAATAGATCGAGTGTTTGCCTTTAAAAAGAATTCCTTCAAAGAAGTCAAAGCGAAGGGGCCTAGGGGTAATGGTAGGAGCTGCCACTGTGCAAAAAGCAGCCTGGACAGTGTGTCACCGCGAGGAGCAAGGCCAGGGAGCTGACCCGCAGCCTCTGCACCCTCTGCTGCTGTCCTCATGGTGCAGCGCCAAAAGTAAAACAAGCAAATGAGCCACGTCCACCGCCACTGAGCAGTCTGACCCGTGGTCACTCATGTGCTACGGAGCAGAACTGCCCCATAGGGTCCTCTTGGCTATAATACTTATGGAGGCAGATAACCAGACCTTTCTTCCAAGGCACTGCAGGGTAGGTCCAAACCACTAACTGTTAGATTGGAAGCAAGCCATTTTTGCTACCCAGAGACCTGCAACAACTCAGAACTCATTACTGTCTGTTCAAATTGGCCTCAGTGGGTTTTCAGAGGCTGTAAATCATATGGGATGAGACCGCCCATCTTTCTCCTGCTGAGCACCTGGGTGGATTCAAACCGTCTCCCTTTGGGTTGGTAGCACAACTCTTTACTCACTAGGCCATCAGAGCTCCCCAGAGATGTGTAATGCAAACACCAGTATTTCCCACCTACTTCTTGGTTTGTTTGCAATGCTTCCATCTGCTACTGGGAAAAGCAAAGGTACACATGTGCTGGGAGCCTGGGACTACTGACTGGCTAGGTGGGCAGCAGGGTAGGGCTCATTCACTCCTGCCAACAGGAGGAAAAGTGGAGGGGCGTAGCTCCTGCTGGACCCTCATGAGGGTGATGGGTGAGGGGAGAAGATGCCGGGGAGTTTCAAGCTTGGCTTGGCAGTGGGGCTGGAGGAAGGGGCATCACCTCCCTCTGCACTTGGTCCGGGAGGTTTCCGTATGCTTAGTAGGTGGTGCCCGTTGAGGCACGTGGGAGAAAGCCCTGCCTGCTCAGGATGCTGGGGAGGTGTACGTCACAGAGAAGCTGGGGAAGGGCAGTGGTAGCCAAGACGCCTGCCTGGGACGGGGTGTCACCTGGAGGTTGGAGTCCTGCACCATGCACAGCTGCTCCTGGATCTTGTGCAGCTCCTCCTGCTGCCACCGGATGTTGGCCTGCAGGATTCGCGTCCGCTGCTCCAGCTGGTCTTTGATGGTCTGGAACATGTTGAACTGGGCCGAAAACTTCAAGGTGGAGTCAAAAAAACAAAACAAAGCCAGAGGAAAGAGTTATTTCAGACAGACTTTTGCTGTTTCTGTGATCAGTCCTGTCCATTTTCATTTCCAGCCCCTTATCTAGCCTTGCCTGCATCGCTGGTAGCAGAGGCCCCACTGGGTGAGGGCACACGCTGCTGCCAGAATCGACACTCCAGCTACTACTGCATCACCAGCAGCTGCAGCAACCTGGCCTGGGGATGCAGTGTCATTCTGATTCATAGAGACTCCCTGTGTGCCAGAGTAGTAGACTTGTGCTCTATAGAGTTTTCCATCTCTGCTGGCTTAGTGGTAAGGAGGTGCACTGCCAACACAAAGACAGGCAGTTTGAATCCATTAGCTGCTCCATGGGAGAAAGATATGTACTCTCTTCCCCTTTGACTGATTTGCTGCCTCTGAAAACCTACCGGAGGGTCAGCTCTGGGGCTGGATCTGAATCAACGGTATATGACACCAACAATGACAATTTTCTTTAAAAATGCACTTGTAGGCTCTCTCGTGAGGTACCCACGGTGGATCTGATCCACCAGTCTTTTGGATGGCAATTAAATACATTAACTATCTGTACCACCAGAGGCACAGAATACTCTTACTCCTCTCTGTTAACCCTAGTGTGTGAAGGGTTGATCTTTGCTCAAGATCACACAGCAGGATGAATCCAGCGTCCATGGGCACAGTAAGGCCAACGGGTTTTGCCACCAACAGCCTCCTTCCAGCTCTAACTCAGTCAGAGTGAGGCTTTGACACAAATCTCTGCTGCTAAAGATGAGATTAAAAATACATATAAGACACCAGCCTACAACCCCAAACCTCCATCAGGAAGCAACTCATTAAAGCCCTCAGCTGGGATTCCAAAAGAGAATGAGATCGAAAAAGAAAATAAGTTCTATCAAGAACTTAATTAAAAAATGGAAACAGAAAAGGATCAGCAGAGGGTCCTGTGTCGTCAGAACATCAGGGAGCATGCAGCGTGCAGCCCAGATGCGCTCCTTCCTCATCCAACTGCTGCCGGTGTGGGGGTTAAGTGCTCGTTACTGCCAGCTTTATTCTTATTTTTTTCCAGGGCATTTCAGGACACTCAGTTACTAGTCAACCATTACACTCTTTATCTGTTTTGATACAGAAGAGAGAGCAACTCTAATTTAGAAACACAGCATGAAGCAAAAGATGTTGCTCACAAAACTATGTTACCCAGGCAACCCTTTTCGGAATTTGAGGTGATGACATCAGCGAGTGGAAGTGATCACACCTCCTTGTTACACAGGAGGTGGGCACAAGAAGAACCATCTAACTTATTATGACCAATCACAGAAAGTTTGGTGGTTCAAACACACTAGCACTCAAAAGCAAAGGCTTGGGGATCTGAAGATCCCTCTGTGACAATTCTACTTGGACCAGGTAGTGGTCCTCAGAATAGAGCAGGGAAACACTGCATGGTTCAAAATCAGGTAGGGAGTGTGTCAGGGATGCATCCTGTCTCCATACCTTTTCAATCTATATGCAGAACAGACCATTGGGGAGGCTGGACTTTATGAGGAGGAATGTTGCATCAGGCTTGAAGGAAGACTCATCAACAACATACGTTATGCAGATGATACCCTTGCTTGAGGAAACTGAAGGGGACCTGAAGTGCTTACTGCAGAAGGCCAAGGATTGCAATCTTCAAAATGGATTGAAGCTCAACATCAAGAAGACAAAGATTCTCACCAATGGGCCAATTGGCAGCACCATGATGGATGGAGAGGATACTGAGGTTGTTAACAGTTTTAACTTGCTTGTCTCCACAATCAATACTCTTGGCACCAGCAGTTAGGAAATCAAAAGACGAATTGCATTAGGTAAATCTGCTGTCAGGGACCTTTCCAGAGTACTGAGAAGCAACGATGGCAGTCTAGAGACTAAGGTGCACCTGATCTAGTCCACGGTCTTCGCAATTACTTGCTATGCATCAGAGCTGGATAATGACTAAGGATGATAGAACAAGAATTTAAGCCTTTGAGTTGTGGTGCTGGAGAAGAGTCTTGAACGTACCGCAGACCACCAAGAAAACAAATAGGTCTATCTTGGAGAAAGTTAATTCAAATTTCTCCTCGGAGGCTAGAATTATTTTTTTAAATTTAGGTTGTTTATTTTTCATTTCAATGAACATCTACAGAGATTTTGGGATTCCATTCATTCATTGTTGC